GAGTTTTTCACTGGACGATGTGCGACGGAGCTGGATTTGCATTGATGGATCTTCTTTCCATGGGGATGTCATGTATCAGTGCTTGGGCACATCACGCCCCGGTCATTAATCAAATCATGGCCTTCGTCTAGAGCTGTCTGTCTGCCAGACACTTCTCATCTGTCTACCTCTCACTCTCTCTCTCTCTCTTTGTCTTTGTAGCAGCCTTGATCAAGTCTTTTTCCTCTGGCTTCCTCTCCACCTTTTTCTCCTGCACAGACTTTCTGTTTCCAATTATAATTAATACTCAGATACATGCAGCATGTCCTTAAAGTTCCATTTCAACAGGTAATTGAAAAACCAACATTAGTAGTACTAAGTACTAAGAGCATTGATGAGCAGTGGGAGTGATAGTATCAGCAGTACAGGTGGTAATGAGATTTTGTGCACTATGGTTTTTGGTTTCTCTCTGGCCCCCACCTGAACGTGATCAGTAATATCTCAATGTAAATTTTTAAAACCTATATCAGTTCTAAGAGTAAACATCTGTGTATCCACAAATGCAAACGTATGCGTACACACTCCTTTTGTCAGATTTATAAAGCGATGCATACACCTGGTTCTGTTTTATCAATTTCAGTCTTTGTTAAATTATGGACACATGTGCAGGCCTGATTCCCACTGTATGCCATAGGTTGATATAGACCCGCCCATAATCAGTTGTTTGCATACGTCTGCTCCACTACTCTCTTAGGCTTTGGCGGTGTCTATTTTTTCATACCTTTATGACATTTCATCAGGGTATGTGTAACAACAAAAAAAGTAAAAGCTGAGCTGTTGGTTATAGAAGTCACTGTAACATGTATGACATTGTCTAGCCTACGATGCTGTTTGTCTAATATGTAGTTAGGCTACTTAGACAAGTCTTACTGGGTTTAAATACTGATGGCCCATAGAATAATGAATAGAAAGGGAGTAAGTGCGTACTTCCATTCTTCTGGTGGACCCAATGACTCATCAGTGGGCTGAACAGAGATGATGTGCACACAGCTTTGTCCATGTTTGCTGGCTCACCTTTATCATCTGGACTAAATCCAAAATACTCCTAAACAGGCACAGAGGCATTTCTATTGTTTACTAGTCCTGTAGCGTTATCCCACCATTCATAGTCACCGACAAGTCTCTGCTTTTTGTGTGTGGATTGAGTGTGTGGCTGAGAGCGAGTTGCAGGTGAATGCAGCGCTGCGGAGGGAAAGGTGAGCAGTGAAGTTTAGCAGTATATGTACAGTGTAGGTTATAGTCTGTCAGTGAATAAAGGCTGCATCTATAGCTCCTGTGTTATTTACAAGCTGCTGGGAAAATGAAGGGGGTTATGTGATGTCAGGAAGTGTCACGCTGCAACGCAAAACTTTAAAAGAAAGAGGAGCGTCTGTTTTTTGATCGTCTTGAAAGTAATACTGACGGGATTTGTAATACTGTAATACCATGACACGGCCCAAGCCAACCCTCTTTCTATGAAATTAAAAGCAAAGTGATGCGATTTCACAGAATTTCCTTGTCAAAAGCCTCAAGAGCCAAAGCAGCCATCCTTACTCAATGCTGCTGTTCACATCATAGCACAGGAGGCGACAATAATTGTTTCTGTGTACTGTCAGCTGCAGCTCTATCTCAGTCATTATCATTTGTCAGAAATGTAATCAATTATGGTATAGATTATAGCACTCATATCCATTTTTGTAGAATAAAGCATAAAATGAAAAGGGCCCAGGGAAGATACTGAAACGTGGGGAAACGGAAAGAACTAAATGAACATTCATCCATTTCATTTCAATGAACGTCTTTAAACTAAAGTTTACAATGCACAATTTCAATTATCTTCATTTGAAATCCTCACTCTTTAAAGAGAAGTCTTTTTTCATATAGTTTTTTCCATTTCCACTTCAGTAAATCACATTCTCTAGAAGGTTTGCGCTGGTTTGAAGTATGCGTGATCTGCAGACATTGTGACCAGACATTTTATGCACAGGAAAAAAGCTTCTGCCTGGTTTTGATGTTGACATGTACGTAAATCATCTACACTTTCAATAACACGTCTATTAGTTTGATCCTTGTCAGGTTAAAAATCAACTTAAAAAAGTATTCCTTTTAGTCATTGCAACTTGCCTACACCACATTTCAGTGTGTATTTGTAATGTATACAATAGAGTTTGGTTTGACCAAATGACACAAAAAGGTGAGTGACAAGATAAAAAGACAGATCACTTTTTCGAGAGTCAGGAAATTTTATAATATATATCGGGCAATATTACAACACACACACACACACACACACACACACACACACACACACACACACACACGCTCACATAGACAAACATGCACACCCACACCCCCTTGCTGTCTGTCTCTCCGCCATCCAAGCTGTCTCTTCATGTATCATCTTCTGCCGGTGCGTGATCTCTAACGCGTTCCACACCAGCTCGCCTTCCCTGGCCTCACTAGGGGTTGTGACAGTTTAGGACCTTTTGGCCTTGAGTGACAGAACGATATGACGGTTTTGTCAACAGTGATCATCACCCCCCCATCTCAGTCCAGCCACACCTGTTCTACAATCCACAGCGAGGCATATTTTTAAGGGTGGGGGAAGAGGGCAAATAATGCAGGAGAGCAAAAGTGAAATGTCCATTTTGGATGAGGATGCTAAATTCATCGACACCCCCACCCGCAATCCTCACCCTCCACTCCCCTCTAAGCTGAAGCACCATTATGGCTTTTCAGGCTGCTTCCTGTACGGATTTTTTTTTTTTTTTCTCGGAAGCCCCCTCCCCTCAACACAAAAGGTGGCTGCCCAGGCTCTGGGGGTGTAGCACTTTTGAAATGTGAAGGGCTTTCAGGAGCTGCCTCTGTTAGTCTGACCAAGAGAGGGGCAGAGGGAAATGAAGGACAGGTTTGCGTAATGGTCTCCTCTCCCCCCTCTGAAGGTCACGCAGCATTGTTGGCCGGCGGAGGTCTAAAAGACAGGCCTTTGGAGGACCACAAAGCGGAGGTTTTGCAGGACTAATGAAACTCAGAGCTACACGTTAATGATCTAAAAGGCTGGACCAAAACACTCAGCAGTCCCTCTCCGCTCGCATTCAGCCTCCTCTTGATCGCTCCTTCCAAATAATGACAAGGCACTCTCCTCCCCTACCTTTATTGTAACCTTTGATGTCCGCCTTGTTTTCTTTGTCTCTGCATCCCCCCTCCCTCCTTTTCATTCCTTTATGTTACAGGGCTGTCACTCATCTATTAAGGCAACAAATGGAACAAGGAAAACATTCAGAGAGCATATTGTGGTGCACCCACAGGTTTGCTCTTTATTTCTTTTGAAAGCACTTGAACTTGGAATTTTCCTTGGGCTGCCCATTGAATCAATAGGATACACCTTTTTTGTTGTAGCTATTGTCATAGGATTACAAACATATTTGTTTTATAATCCACATTTCTTATCCCCTATTGTGAAATTCTATGTAACTGTGTTCATATGTGACTATTTCTTTTCTCATTATATTAAAGGGCACCTTACCAAATTTACAAAAGAACCTTGTATTGTTACACCTACCTCTAGTGGTATGTGGCCATGCAGATGGTCTCTATTTTATTTGGCCAGGTTTAGAAATAAGCTTCTCGGTGATATGTGCCTGCACCCCAGCACAATTGAGATGAATAGAACTGTGGTTGGGATTGTCACAGCATTAAAAAAATGACGTTTAACAGCAACGTGTCTCTCCAGAGACAGTGTCCACAAAATACACAGTCGCCAGTTTTTATAGCGATTCTTTCTTCAGTAGAAAGTAGTTCCAGTGAAACAATGTCAATTGTCGATCATTTCAGCCCCAGCTCTCGGGGGAATGAATGAAAAAATGTAGCTTCAGGTAAAAGCAAGAAGTTGAATTTGTCCTAAAACGTCTACACAAAGTCAGCTCTCTTACTGACCAGGGTGCCGTCCACAGTAATCTTTGTCCTCATTTAGAAAAGAAAAGCAAGTCATACGCAAAATTCTTTTTTAAATTTCCTGCCAGAGATGCCGAGATTATCTCTGCCTGCCTTGCAGACAAATGGTGGTGAAATGTGTTATCCAGTAAGATGGAGGCCAACTGTATGTGATAAGTTAAATAGTAAGTGAACTAGCAGGCTGTCTCCTGATGTAGCTGGTTAAGGTCATTAGGCCTTTAAGAAGCCCTTTGACATGGCCTGATTATGTTTGGCTGGGACTGCATGTGATATGTGAGATGAAATGTGTTTCTTTGGATCTTCTCTGTGTGTGTGTGTGTGTGTGTGTGTGTGTGTGTGTGTGTGCGTTTCCTATATGCTAGTTTGTGTGTGTTGAGTCAGTATGTGGGGCCTGTTGATTGGCCTTGATTAACAGACTACCAGGCACTAGAAGCAGAGCTAGAGCTTTTGTAATGTAGCATCTTGAGCTGGTTATTGCCAATCATTCTACTGGAGGCCTTGAACCTTTGTGTGTGTGTGTGTGTGTGTGTGTGTGTGTGTGTGTGTGTGTGTGTGTGTGTGTGTTAGAGATGGGTTTGGTGAAAAAAAAAACCCCGCAGTTTTCAAACAAGACAATTTTTTCTTGTAGCGAAAGGTGTTTCAGTTTTGCAAACAAGGTCTTCTGGTGGTCTGTTGAATGCTTAGTGTGCAGTCTAAAGGGAATGAATGATGAAGTGAATGAGGGAATTTTTTTATTTAATTCAGATTGAGCAATGTTGAGAACTGGCATCTGTAAAGACCACTGAGCTGAAAAATGAACCACTGTGCACTGAAAAAGGAATTATGTATAAAAAGTTTGTACCAACATTCACAATGTGGTTCTCAGTATTCTGCTGCTATTACCTGGGAAGGCTCTTAATTGACATATTTGTCTGTTATGTTCCCCTCCAAATCTATGAAAAGGAGTTTTCTCTGACCTTGCTGTCCAGGGAACATCTAGTACTGTTCACGAAAACACTTAATAATCCTGTATTTTTGTGTGTTTCAAGGCAAGCTGAGCAGCCAGGATTCATACAACAACTTCACCAATAACAACATGGGCAACCCGCGGCTGTCCCCGCTGCCCAGCCTCACTGTGGTGCTGCCTCTGGCTCAGATCAAACAGCCCATGACCCTTGGCACCATCACCAAACGCACTGGGTAGGTAGCACACACACCTCAGCCTTTATTCTCCACAGGGACTCCAGTTTATGAAGCACATGTGTTACACAGTTACAGTTTAAAATGGTCCCATCACAGAATCCATAATTTAGTGGGACATATCACAGCAATGGTTTTCTTTGTAGTGTTTAGTCACTTATCAGATGTTGTTTTCTTTAGGTAGCACTTTACTTAAACTACCCATCATTAAATGGTATATGCTCTGTACTTATAAAGCACCTTTCTAGTCTTTGACACACTGATGGCAAAGGCTAAGGTGCAACCAGACCTACCTCCTGAGCCACAGCCGCCCCATACATACGCTTTAATACACACACACACACACACAAACATATATATGTGTGTAAATGTTTGTATATGTATACATGTACAGCATATATAATATATTAATATTATAAATTACAATATTATACACTCTAATGAAGCTGTAAGAAGAAATCAGGATATTAATTAATGTGTTATTAATGTTTGTCATTAAAGTAAATAAACAGTTAATGGCACACACACACACACACACACACACACACACATATATATTTATATTTTTTTTCCCTTCTTCACCGTATAATAATAAAATAAAATATTATAAAATAATATAATAAAATAAAGTCCACTTACTAGAGTTCTCCTGGAGCTTTTCAGCCACTTCCTATGCCCTTCATCAGCATGTAGTTTGTTCAATTGTCATGGAGGGTGAATAATTAATAAATATATACTATAATTTCTATGTTTACAACTGTATTATATTCTCAATCATTGATTATCTTTTATACACCTGTTACAAATACTAAACTGCAGGAGTTATGGGCACATACACAGATAAACACTTAAATGTCTTACAGTATCTGCTTAAAACAACATTACATTGTGTTACAGTGTAGTGAATTATAAACCATTTATTAACTGTTTATTAGCTGCTTACAAATGCTAAATAGGGGGTTAAGTAAAATATTATTTATGTTGTAAAAACATTCAGTGGAAAGAAGAGACTTAACAAAATATCAATTCCATATGTGCAACATAATTCAGAAGTGTTCGAGAATGAACATACTCCCTAAATCTGGGATTCCTTTGGATTTAACATTATACCAGCCACTTTGCAGGATGTTAGCTCTATGTAGAACCTTCACTGCCACTGCTATGAGAAGTTACATTAAAGTGTAGTTTTGTAACCTTTATATATGTATTGATAAATTCGACTTTAATCTTTTCTGCCTTTGTGGTTGTTTTCAAGAAGAGGTCCCTTTTGTAGATATAATCCAGATGCAGTGCAGCACATTGGATACACCTGAAACCTGTAAATTATAGTCTGCAGAGGGGGTGAGTGTAAAAGGGTTACTGGAAACCTAGGCGCAAACATTATAATTTACAGTTTGGCCATTGTCGAGGAAAATTGAAGTCACACTGTATTACATCTGTAACTTCAGTCTGTGATCTGCTGCCTTTTTACATGAATCACATTGTAAAAACACTGTGTTGTGTCAACAGTGGCCTTGTGTAGGCCAAAGCTTTTCCCCTCACACATCCAGCTGATGCCCATGGACGTCTTTTGTCTCAGGCCACCACTTTTTTGCATAGGGTAATGAAGCACAACACACATGCGAACTTGTTCTGTGGGCTGTTTGGAAAGCGGATGAAACACATCATGCATACCCAGAATAGAAAGAAAACCCTGCCAATACTTTTAAATCATATTCAAGTCATGTTAAATGCAGTGTAACCCTGCTATCTTTGAGTATTGAAACAAGTTCAGTTTTAAAAGTAAGACAGCTTTGCTCTCATGCAATTCTGTCCTCTGTCTTTTTTTTTTTCACCTGGATCTTCGCTGTGCATTGAAATCATGTAGTTTTAAGACCATCAGCAACTACAGGCCTTTGCTAAGTGCATTTACATACAGTACATGTGGCTCCACAAATATGGGCAGATTTTAATATTTTCATTTAAATGTAATTTTCATGCCCTGTTTGAATAGGAAATGCTTAATGATTCAAACTGACGGCGAAGGATTTATTTCCCCATGATATTTGATAAGTGAGCTTTGAGGATGAAAAGAGAGACCTGATCCTGCAGTCAACGTAAACAACATCAAGCCATTTTCCAAATCATTAAGGTGACCTGCAAAGTTTATTTGGTTTGTAAAATGTATTATTGCTTTTGGGCTACTGTGGAGTCCTGCGCTGGTGTATTTATTTTGATGTCCTGGTACTGGTGGTTTGCATTTGGTCTCGCAGTCACATTTAACGCAGCATCAGTGTTTAAAGTCATACAACACGGGGATCTAAAAATAGGTGTGGTTGGTTTTAATTTAGGGGCGTAAAAAGTTAAATATGTCCTAATTCACCCACAATTAGAACTTTCAGGTTGCTTGTGTTAATTTACAGTTATCATTTGCTCTCCCCAGTAAAAGCAGTTCTTGTAGTCTGCGATCATCTGAGAGATTGTTTTTGGTGGTGTGTTTTATTTTATTTGGGTTGTGTCTCCATTCTGGTGTTTTTACATTTTTTTTCTGTGGTGTGTCTTCATCCTATAACACACTTTAAAGTATTTTAAAAAGTCTTGCTTTTAATTTTATTGATTTATCTCTGCCTTTTCTTCTTTTTTGTCTTTAGCAGTAAGCTGTCACTGCTGTGTAGTTTCATTATTTTGCCTCCATCTTTGGTGGAAAAGAGTAATCAATACTTTCATTAGTGTACTTTGTTTTTGGAGTGCTGCTAAGTGCTTCTTTTTGTGTTGTGCTGCACTTGTCTTGTAGCTTAATTATTGCTGTGAAACATGGGGCTGGGTATTGTTCCAAACATTTCAATACTAGCGACAATATGATACACACGTTTTCATACCAAAACACTGCAATACTCTGTACCTTAATTTGAGGAATAAAAAAAACTAACTCTTTGCCTAAATACAATGCATTCTGAAATTGGCAACATTTTGACATAAATCAGGAACCATCTGGTCGAACATTAAGAATCTGACCAGACATGTGATGCCAACTTTCATTACCTGATCATTTTAATACTTTGTGTTACATATCCATTTAGATCAGTCCCAAAAAATATTTAGGTTTGACAAATTCTTTTTGTGTTGAGTGGCATTAGGTGCTGATTATGCTAAATATCTAGTCATCTTTTTGTAGATTCAGAACAAAACAGATATATAAACAAAATCAGTAGTTAAATGCCAGAGGAATTTTTCCCCGAAAGCCCTACGGGACACTCTTAGACTGTGCATGTAAAAGCTTTCAAGGCCTTGCTGTAGGGTGAATCACTTTGAAATTTAATAGGCAATAGAGAACATAATCATTTTAGGTGGATTTGTCACTGTATACTGTTCATAGTTCAAAGGAGGGGTGAAAATGTATAAAAACATCCTCTGGATATATTATATGTTTTTTTGTTTTTTTTATACCATCAAAACATTCCATTAAAAGACCAAAACCAACAAGGTACTAGTATCTCAGTGCTTTGTTACTTTTCTACCCTATCTGTGACACTCAACCCCATTGGTCCCTATTAAAGATGTAAATATTTAAAAGCAGGGAATGGTAAAGAAGGAACATGTGACCCAGCACAATCATGTGGGTCACTGGTGTGTTTGTGATGGTTTTTGTAACATTGGAGCTCTATGGCACCGAGGAAGAAGAGATATCAGGCTATAGATAGACACAATGCTTGTTAGAAGAATACATTCATTGTTGGTTTGGGTCTTTTCATGGGATTTTCTACAATAAAGAATATAGACAGCTTTTTCCTTAACCTGCAAACTGTCTCTTTGTGTAAGAATTATAATTTTAATTAATAATTTTTTCACCCATTGTACTTGATCAATAAACACCTCAAAGCGCTACATTTGGTCTTTAGGACATTATCAGCCTGGGCTGCCTCAGTACTCCTTCATCAGTCCATCCAGTCCACAGGAGGCGTCAGTATTAATGCATCAGGACATGCAGCTGTGCGGCCTTCTCCTGTATACATATGGCTGCACCAATTCACCACATAACACATACACACACACACACACACACACACACACACACACATTGAGGGAAGCAGCAGGTTTGGCCTCTAGAGTTCGGGGTGATATCATATGCTTTCACGCTATACTTGCACAGGAGTGCCCTGGCACCATCTGTCTGTCTGTGCAGCCAACCCGCTCTCTTTTTTATGTTTGAGCGTGTATGTGAGAGAGAGAGAGAGCGTGAGAGGGAGGGAGGGAGGAGCGTCCGGCAGCTGTATTTACACCTGTATGAGCAGATCCCTGTTGGCAGGGCAGCAGAGGAACACACCAGCTGCTTAACCTACATTCCCTACCAGGCTGTCTTTGTGTCCACTGTGCCGTGACACACACACTAACAACTCACGCAGATAGATGCTTGGATGAAGCTTTCACCTCCTTTGTGTGACCAGGCCAACCACAGGGATAGCTTCATAGACCCTGGTTCCCCTACAGACCACTGATGTGCAAAATGCTGCTGTTTGTCCTCAGTTGCCCCATCTTTTTTAAAAACCTCAACTAGTCCATCCGCCTCCTCTCTTAATTTAGATTTTGGTGTTTTCCCCTGTCGAAGTGGGGAGGTATAGTCGGATGTGGCTCAGCATTCCCCTGATAACCCCCCTCCAGACGAGGCCAGGTCAGAGAGTGGAGAAGCACAGCCAAGCTTCTGCTAGTCCTCAAGGTCTCCTGGGAGTCCTGAACAAGGGGACGAGTGTCGGCTCTGACCCGGCCTCTTGTTTCCTGTCAGCCAAATTTGGCAGAAAGCTGGCTGGCCCTAGATGAATTAAATCCCAAAGTCGAAAAAAAAATCACTATCACAAAATCAAAAGATTCTCTCTTGTTAAAATGTCACTGTCAGAACTTAATCTGTGAAAAAGATTAAGAGAGAAATATTCAAACAGTCCCCTGCAAAGAAAGTCCACTTGTCCCCACAGTCACCAGAGTTTTATGAGGATAGATTTAACTTGTCAAAATGCCTGTCAGTAATACATTTGGGATTTGCAAGCAGACAAACTATTGCACACTTATCCCATCTACACACAGTCTGACTTTAACACAGACAAATGAAAATCCAAATGGAAAGATTGTCATACACAAAACAAAACACCACTCTTGGCCAAATCCCACTGATGACATTTTCAAGCAAATGCCGATAGAGTGCAGGCGAGGTAACGAGAAAGACGACAGCGAGAGAATGAATGAGACCCTGTGACCTGCTGCAGATGTGCTCTCAGATTATTGTAATACATATGTAAGAGCCAGCCCAGTGCTACAGCCATTGTCATACAGAGCCTCACTGAGAGCAGAGGTAGAGATGGGGCTTTATGAACGCAATGCCCAGCATCACATGGAGCAAGACTAAACCATTTGCACAAATCACCTCACTTGCCTCCCTTTTTAATGGCCCAGGGAGAGCTGCTATTAGGGCCAACGGGTTAAGAGATGAATGTGTGAACGATTATTCTCCGGGAGTGGGGTCGTCGCCCTCACAGGTCGATTACGCTTGCTCTTTTCCCCTCTCTCTCTTGCCTCTCTTCCTCTTTCTGTGCCTCAGTAACACACCCACTCAGTCTTACACCACTTTCACTCCACTGACCCATGTTTAACTGATGTTTCCCAACATGCCACTGACCTGTTTGGGACTTTCTTCGACCAAACCTGCTGGTTCAGGCATTGTGTCACGTAACTGTGCGGTCTTTATCTACGCTGTGGTCAAAACTGTTTAGTGCCAGCTCATCATGGTAGACAGTCTCCCCAACATGACCTCATTCTTTTGTTTTATTTTCAGCAATTTGACATTTTGATTTATAACTCTGAAGCCTAAACGCCATACATTTCAATATAACACATCTGCATAGTTTACAGAAATTATTCATGATTAAAAACTGCTCATATAATCGACCTCTTCAAACACTACTAGTTAGATTTGAGCTAATTGCAGATAAATCGGTATCTGTGTCTATAAATGCCAATAAATGTCAATTACAAAATAAATGGAAACAGAAGACAGATCTTTCAATCATGTTATGAGTGTTGTCGTTGCATAGATTGTCCACCAGAGGGCACTCTGCAACTCCCCTGTTGACATAATCAGCTGTACTAAGTACTATTTATAACATTAAAAAAAGGTTTACTTTTAAACTGCATTGTGTCATGTTATCTTGCAGGGTACCCGCAGGGTCTTAAAAGTATTTAAAAAAGTCTTCTAAAAATAAGCCCTTAAAAGTATTAAATTTTGATTACAAAGTATTAAATACAAAAGTCTTAAATCTTCTCTTGGCCTTCTGTAGGCCATAACGTCATAAATAAATATTATTGTGTGGGTGACTATCCAATTTACTCCGTTTGGTGTTAAACGGCAGTACAGGTAACGTTACCGTTTATGTCAGTGTTGAGTGTCAGTCAGTTGTTAGGAAAGAAAACAAAACGTCTCGCACCGTGCTACGAACATGCTAACGTTAGCTAGTTCCCGCCAAGTGTTTGCTGGCGGATGAGGGTGAGAGCGCTGGTGCTGAGGTTAGGGATCGGCGTGTGATTCACTCACACTATAGCAAGTGCTAATGAAACGGCGGAGCTGGAAGACCCGCCTGTAGGTTCCCTGGTCAGTTAACACTACAACCTCAACGCTTTGCTCCAACGCTTTGCTCCACTATTGTAGGTTATGATGAAAATGGAAACGTCCAACATGCTAACACACAATCAACGACATCACCCAGATGTGCCGTTCCTCGGGACGAGGAAAAAACAAACTGGATAAATAATCACAGAAGCCATTGGCATTTACATTTACACATTATATTACATTACATTACATCTCTTATCTAGCCAATGTGTAACTAATTGTAACAACTCATACTGCACTAGTTTCATTTGTTATTGTTCTATTTATTTTGGATTTTGGATTTCATAGCATAAGAGTTCTTAATTTGACGGATATTGTACACACAGCTCAAAAAGCTATTGTGCATTAAATATGAAAGTGAGTTTTAAAATATGTTTTATTAAATTCCGGTAACTAGGTAAATAATAATTTTCTGTGGCTTTAAAATTCATACTGATTTTTCATTATATGGCAGTGAAGTGGACATTGAATGTCATCTTAGTTGGTACTTAAACGGTCTTAAAAAGTCTTAAATTTAATCCTGGGGGGTACCCTGTCTTGGTAAGGGATAATCTTTGTTTATGTCATGTGTTTTTGAAAAGAAGAGAAAAAGATACTTGCCAATGTTTCGGAATGTCAGAATTTAAAATCCTCAAATACCAAAATCGGTATCCGTCTTAAAAATCTTTTATGAAATAAAGGGAGAGAACAAGGATAACACCAAACAAAGGTCCCATGCTGAAATCCAGTCAGGGATGGTGTGTGTCTTGGGTCCACTAGGTCTCAGGTCTCACTAGGTCTCCCTTTATTCACCCCAGCAAATCATGCCCTAATTTAAAGTTGAGCTTACATACCATAACATGGAGTATAGTGAAGGTACAGAGGTTCTGATGTTGCTGGCGTTGCCACTGTTGTTTTTATTACTGTTAGGCAATTATCAATAGCTTTTATGCTTGTTTACTGTATACATGATCACATTGCACCTTGCCTAGGAGGGTGGATGTAAAGTAACAGAGGTTGCCATGAGTCAGACTGCTCCCAGTATTGCTTTTGACTGGTTATTTATTTATTAGTATGAATTTTCTTTGCATTGATTCATCTGATTGATCCGTTAATTCTAGCACTGTGTTAGCCACCAAACAATAAATTTCACCAATAATAAGTTCTAAGAAAGTAGGAAGCGGAAAGTCAAAGTGGCATCTTGTAAACCCCAAAGCCTACTTGACCTTTGCTTCCCCCATGGAGATCTCACTCCATTCCCCCATCTTTCTCCCACTGGGGTCCATCCATTTACCCGGCTGGAGGCCCAAAGTGGGGGCTCAGCAGGTTCGATAGGCTCAGCGGAGGGTAGACTGTAGAGACCCCCCCCCCCCCCTCCGTAACTCCTTGATAAGTGGCAGTTTACCAGGGGCCTCCATTACACCAACCAGCATGTTCATTTGTCAACTTGCACTCCAGGAGTAAGACATTCCAGGGCAAATTGTTGCTCCCTAAGTAACGTTTTTCTACACATCCATGTACCAAGACTAATTGAAGACCTTCTGCTATCATCGGGAGGGCCCGGGCGGATGCGGCGAAAGCGATAAAATAAGAGAAGTGCTGCAGAGTGCTTTGGTTGGCCGGGGATTCTGGGTTTTTTTTTATGACTGGGGGAGGTTGGCTGGCGGGACAAAGTTCAGTCTCATCGGACCTTTATTGCTGTAGGGAAAAAGCTTATTTACTGTAAACTGTTTACGGAGCTCTGTCACTATCTCTGGACTTGCAGAATAAACACAGGAACACACTCCCACTCCTAATGTCTTGTAAACATTAGAAACACGCACAAACTGACAGATAGACAGAAATACACCCTGCAGAAGACACTACATTCTGGATGGCTCTTGCTCACTTGTTAACATAATCACAGTGAATACACATTTGCCCACACCCTCGCTTCCAAATGGGCACGCACATTCACAAGACAATGCGTGGCCGTAAATACACACTCGCACAAAAAAAGCAGTTGCAAACACACAACTCCTTGTCTCAACAATGCCTGAATGCTGTTAGTTTTACTGGTGTCTCCAGTTGTTATACAAATTGGATAAACTCTTCATACTCTTTCTCAATCCCAACAATCAGAACTGTTTCCCATCGTTTTCTGTGTCGTATTTACACGGTTGGATTCAGACCTACATGTTTCTGCACATGTACCCAATCCCTTTAAAGTTAAGCAGGGGAAAAAACATGACAGATGCCTGAAGGAAAAATCAAAGTCTGTGGACATGCTGCATCTGCCAAATATATGGTATCACACTTTACGGAGCAGCTTGAGCAGATGAATCATCATCAGCCATCCTGCAGGTTTTCAAATTCATCTCAGCATACAGACATTCTGTTTCCTGCCTCATATGTGTTGTGCACTTAAACAGACACGTCAAAAAGTATGTAATGTGAAAAGTGTGTTTGCTCAAGTGTGCTAGTTTAATAATGGTTTTTCCGTCTATCTCTGTATCCCCCCACCCCCTTCACCCTCCCCCACCCCCCTCTCATGAAGACCCTACCTCTTTGGGGCGGGATGTTTTGCCATTAAAACTCCATGGTGAGTTTTGCCTCTCCCCTCCTTGGCTCCCTCTGCAGCATGCAACTGTATACCCCGTCACAGCACACCGCCTCCTTTACCTCTCATTTGTCTCCCGTTATATTTTCAACACATTCCGCATAGTTGTGCAGTCATTCCTCAGGGGGGAAAAATCCCAAAGAGTGTTTCTTATTTTCTCATCTTTTTTGTGTGTACCCCTTTTTTTGGCTGTTTTTTCTGTAAACCCTTCAGTTTTTCTGTATTTGTCGAGATTTTGTAGTACGATGATTCAATATATTGTTTTAAAGCCACTACAGTACTCAGTGAACAAATGATTTTTGTTGGATTTAATATTTATATACAGTATGTATATATCTTATATTTGCTGTTATGGTTTCACATTTTAATCTTTTAAGAAGAACCAGGAAAAAAATGCTCCAGGTCTGTATCATAGGTAGTAGTCCAGGGGACTTAGGGCAATGCCATATTCTTGTCTTGTTGCTGTTTGGGTTTTTTTAAGCCGCCTACTAGAAAATGACATCTCTGCCTTCTTGTCCTTTTCTTTGTCTGTGTTTAGACCCTCCATGATGTTTTTCCAATAATTATGCCTTTGTGTAAAACACATGTTGCTCAAATTTTCCTTTAGTCCGCTTTGGTTAAAAAAAGATTCTGTCGGATGTGTACTTGCACGCAGTAATTGTGTCTTGTCATATTCTGGTATTGTGAATGGTGTCTTGTGTGGGTGTAACAATGTGACTAATATGTGCTCCTCTACAAAATGCAAAGAACTAAAGGTGAATCAAATGTTTTGTGTTTAGTTCATTATAACTAAATACTTGAATTTAAAGCTGCACTAGTTGATATTTTCATATTAACCATGGGTCATATGACTATGTGTAATGTGAAAGGGATGAACCCACGGGGTTCTGCAGTTCCTCTCTGCTCTACAGAGAATTTTATCATCTTTAATAACACTGTTTTGATTCTCATCCACCTTGTTTCCAGCCACAGTAGGCAGCTGTTTTTAGCAAAAAACTCTGATGAAACCAGTGTAGGTGACACGCCTAGCATCAAACAGCAGACAAAGTTAAAGACTAGCTGGTCAACGTAATGGAGAATTTAAAGATCCATATTTTTTTGACAGGAGTTGATGATATTTGACTGAAACTCATTGGGCAACCAGAAACACAACTTATCAATGCTAATGTTGTTCCATGTCTGTGTGATGTGTAATTAGGCAACTGTTTACTAACATGGGTGGTGGTGGCGCATAGATAAGATGCTTGCCTTGGGAGACCTGGGTTCGATTCCCACTGTGAGACATCCACCATTGTGTCCCTGAGCAAGACACTTAACCCCTAGGTGCTCCAGAGGCGTGCGACCTCTGACATATATAGCAATGTAATTGTATTGTCGCTTTGGATAAAAGCGTCAGCTAAATGAATAAATGTAAATGTAACATGTTCACTATAAAATCATTATGGGATACTGTATAGGCAGTGGCCAAAAATCAGGAATACTACTTTAAACTGTTCACAGATACTTTAGTATCATCACTTATTTACATCACCTAACCTAATTTAATATTCTGAATATCAACAAATGACCAATGACAAATGTAGAATTAACATGACAATAATGAGCTAGCCTGGTTCCAGACCTTTGAATCGCTGCCCACATGACTGACTGGAAAATAAAGTGAAACAAAAAGGCAATATAATCTGATTTCCTGGGTTTTGATCAGGGAAGGATTCACATTCTCTTTAAAATTTTGAGTTAAACTTTATTTTTTAATGCCCCGTTAGAGGCCACAGCATCCTCCTATTCAATGAACCTTTTCTTGTAGGGGGCTGAAGCCAAGTCTCTTGTCAACACTGTCTCGTGAAATCAGATGCTTACAAGCTTTTAAAAGAAGCCCCATTATGACAGAGTCACTTATGGAGAGATGATTGAGTGGCTCAGTGAAGTGAACTTTTCCCTTCCTGGCTCCCTGCTCTCCAGCTCCTCCCTGTTGACTCCATTCACTTGAGAAAATGAATAGCATGTGGTGCCTTCCCCAAGTCTTGGGTTTCGTCTTTTGTTGTGGGCAGTCACTCATACTTTTTAATTGAAGGTTTTTTTTTTTTTTTCTTTCTGTCTTCATCCACCTCCCGCTTAATCTAGGCCCTTAGTGATTTCAGAGCATATACTTTTCAAAGCTACACATCATTAGCATTGGAATCTTGACCCTCACAATAACTGCCTTCCGCTCAGATTTGAGCTAGTTAAACCTATATTGTTTCTCTAATAGTGTATGTCTTGAGACGTGAGCTATGACAGTCTATATGCCAATTTCTGCTTCGGCATTCCATGTGCCCTCTGAAAACTAAGTAGTACCCAGAGTTATAGAAACGGAGCCCTCTTTTATTTCCTTTTCCAGGATACCATGAACTGTATAATGCCATCTATGATTTACACCAGGAGCTTACACCAATATATTTAATACTATTTGCGCAATCTGACTGCAAAGACTATTTAATAAACTTTCTTGCCTGGCGGAGTGTAGGGTATCGAACAGGTTAAATAAAAAGGCCTAGTTTGTCCTTGAACAGTTGATGCCCATTCTCCAGTGTTCACTGAGTTTCCCCAGTGGTTGTCATTAGTGCTGTGTGTTCGACACAGCCCCAAGGCTAGCTCTTTTCCAAGGGCTGTTGTAAAATAATAAATGTGACGCTGAAGGATGTGTCCTCCACATGACTGCCCTTTCTCTCTCCCTCTCTCTGTCTTTCTTTCCCTTCCTGGTCGCAGTCTTAATACCGGCTCTTTTTTCGGATTTGAATGAACCATATGGCCCAGAATCAGTGCAACGACAGCAGCACAGCTCTTTGTCACTGGATTGCCAGCTCAAGTGAGCTCTATCATATTTGTTTACTGCGAGGGTCCTGAAAATAAATGGAAGCTGCCACTGGACTTCCATCCCCCCTCGGAGGCGCCTCACGTTAGCCCCGGACATAGTAATGCAAAGGGACTTTGATGGTTGATGTCGCAGATTGAATTATGCCCTTGAGAAAAAGCTATTAGCTCAGTCAAGAGTTCTCATTTGTTAAATTAAAAGTGGAAATGACATGTGAGTAGTCTTCAGTGAATTGAAGTTGCAAAGAAAATGGATTCCACTCCCTGGTAAAGGGCAATCGCACAAAAGGAAATATTGTGGAGGGAGAAAAAAAAAATAGATTTGCCGTTTGTTTAGTGACATTCCTCCCCCGCTCCCAATTCCCTTTTAGTATATTAATGTTTCATAATTTATTGATATTTTGTTATGTTTTTTGTAACTTGGTGCCATTTGCCAACCCGCTCCCCTACCACTGGTCCACTCCAAAAACCGGTTGCTGTCCTCCATATGGAGAGCAGAATTAAGCCCTTGTCTGCTGGAGCTGTGCCTCTCTGTCGTAAGGGCAGAAACCTCAACACTTTTAAGCCACTTCAAGTGAGATCAAGAGGAAAAGGATGATTTAAAACACAGATGAATAAACTTTAGTGGTCACTGTACCCAGAGGAGAGGAGACTCGAGCTGTGATGTTTGGTACTGTTGGCAGGCTCGGCGCCAGCTGAGGCCTCTTCAAAGAGGCCCAAACCCAGCTCATCAGCTATGAGACCACAGTGAGGAGCCAGTATTGTAGCCTGCTACACATTGGCCTGTGCGTGTGCGATCATATATATATATATATATATATATATATATATATATATATATAGCAAGCTGTGTGAGGTCAGTATGCGGGTTGCAACTTGGTCAGTCCTTCCCTTTTGGCTCCAAATAATAATCTCAACTTTGCCTCTTGAAAGTCCTTTCTTGCTGATTTTTCATTCTCCCTTCAAGAAAACCTGTCAGATTTAAACAATGTTTAACAATGTTTTTCCTTTCTTGATTATTAACTTACGTCAACATGACGACCACGAGGAGGTTAGAATAGTTTCTAGTACACAGTGTAAGTTGCTGTGTGGTATATGTCAGCACTGAGCTTTCACCCTTGAAAACCAACATCAGCTTGCTCTGAAATAGGATTTGTGTTTCCTGGGTTATTGAAACCAGTGAACCACAGGGCCTTTTGAAGGGTTTAACATATTTTCCAGCAACGGGAGAGATGGAACACCAGGCTTTTCAGCAATTAAACACCTCAGCAAAGAAGAACTTCGCAGAACTTCCCCACAGTCAAAGTCGGGATTACAGTTCCTTCTCTTGAGCATTGAACAGAAGTTATATGGTGTCTTGTGACCAAAGGATCCCTCGTTTCTCCAATTTGCCTTACCATTTCACGTGCCTACTTCCATTTTCATCATAATGGATTACAGTAGGGTTCTTAAAAGTTCAAATTCATATAAGTATATATACATGTTTTATACTCTGGTGAAGGATTGTTGAGCTTGAAAGGAAGAAGAAAGGATGCAATAATGTAAGCGCTCATAGCTAGTGGATAGCTGACTTGTTTGATAAATGCTTTATTTTTTGGATGCACTGACAAACAAATAGGCCTAAGAAAGAGTTTGGAGAAGAAGACAAAGGGCACCCAGAAGTTAGCCAATGCAGTATCCTGAGTGTGACTTTATGTCCCCCTTCATCTTCCTTTCACAGACGGGGCTTACTGTGGATATTTAGTTATTCTCCCCTTGACCCAGCACTAATAAATTTAAGTTACAAAACTTGTATAGAGGCCTCTCTTATGACTACCTTCACCACTTCCTTTTTCCTGATCACTCTTTCACACAGTGTTGTCCAAACAAAGACATCAACATCTCTTTGCATCCAGGGAGTAATTTACGAGGTGCTGACAGTCTGCAGGGAGGCAACAGAAAGAGAGTTTTACCAGCAGCAGGTCTTTCTGCACCTAGTACTGTGAAAGTTAGTTGAACTACTGGACACACAGGCGTTACTGTTGAACTATGTTTATTTCACTCTGCTTTCTGTGATGGAGTAGTATCAATTTCACAGAAATACAATTTGACCTGAGGCCTTAAATCACCAAATCTTCACCGCTTTTGAAGATTTTTTTAAATGAATAGATGAAAATCTATTTATTTAACATATTTACATGTGTTTTCCTCCCTTAACATCTATGTAAAAGCATGTAGGTAACCTTGAGTTGAGAATATGTAGTCCCCACTCTGATTCCAAAACACACTGATTGAAAAATGAACGAATGCCCGGATGGATGGACCAAGCTTAGCATAAGGCTTGAGCTGCTAAAGCTTTGTTCAGACTGCAGGCAAATCAGATTTGTTTCTCAAATCAGATCTTTGTGACAGACTGTTATTTGCAAGTGATCACAGGGAATTTGTGTGTCCAGAGCATAGACTTTATAAACGAAGTGGACATAGCCACCGTGGTGTCACCCATTGGTTTGTGGACTACTGCTTTGAAGCCTTGAGTTTGGCATTTTGGCTGTAATCTTGTTTCTTTGCAACCAGAAGTGACTCTGTATTTGGCTAAGAGGGTGGAGCTAGCTTGCTGGATTAGTAACGTGCACCCGTATATCACGTTACCTGATATTAATCATATAATGCAAATTTCAAACAAAATGGAATGAAAAAAAAATAAACAGCCGACTCCTTAGAGTGTCTTTCAGTATAACCAAACGCTGAGCAAGATATTTTTCGTCGACCAAAATGTTAACTCACATTCATAAACTGAAAAGACACAGTGTAAGGGTCAAAATGCTTAGATGGAAACACAGACAGCACCCTAAAACAAGTCATGAGTAGTTAAATGCAGCGCCATTAAATAAGCTTTCTCAGCAGTTAATTGTACACATTGCAGTGGATATGATTCACCTCTATCCTGATTGAAAGGTTGCTATGGTAGCGACTTGTCAGTCACAAGGTAGCCACGCACTAAAGCATACCCTGCTTTATTGTCTATTTTTGTCTATATGGGACCATAATTTACTAACTGAACATCATGCTCTATGGAAAAAAAGAATGCCCGAGCATCTGGACTGAGGCGCATTTCATGTGTTTTTTGCTGTCCAGACTGGACAAGTCCTAAGAGAACCCAAGTGTTATTTTTCTCTCGACAACACTACAAATTCTGTGCATAACCAACACATACATAAATTATTTCAATAACACACACTTTTCTAGTTCAAATATTCAGGGGCAAAGATAAAACCTGACCAGTCTTTTCCCCATTCCAGGCACTCTAGTTTTTCAAATTTACCCATTCTGTAAATTACTGATGCTGTTCAGCCTCAAGAATGAATAGAGCCAGTATGCCTCACACACAAAACTGCTATAGAAATTGAACTGCAGTAGTAGCACTCATTGCCTGCAGGTGGCACAACCTCGGCTTCAGCTGCATATAGATGGAGCTGGTTGGTTGGACATTTTCTTGATATACTGTACCTGGTGTTTTGTATTTGAATGTGGAACTTTTAAATCAGCCAGAGAGTCTCTTTCTGCTCATGCTATCTATTTCTGGTTATATTTGTACCACAAAAAAAAAAAAAAAAAAAAAAGACAAAATCCAAAACACCTGTACAAAGTTCTGCACCAGAAAGCTTTCATGAGCAGAGGAAATGTTAAATTACAATATTTTGTGTGTGGGTGCTACAGGTTAGCAGGTACAAGATAAAATACAAACCAGGAAGCTCCGTCTGAAGGTATATTTAACACTAAGAAACCACTGTGGTTTATTTTTTTAAACCCAGACAGTACAATTCTGGAACATTACAGCAACATTACAGTGTCTCTTACATCTCAATGCTAAAGGGGTAAACGGCAATGACAATGCAGGATAGCAGCATGGAAAACGTGCAGTTCTGCCTCAATTTCTTTGTCTTTTTCTCAACAAGTTAGTGTTGACAGAAGTGAGTGTGTTGCCTCCACACCAGTGTGGTTTCTAAAGGTCAAGGTTAAGCACCCCTATGGGAGTTTGTGACACCATAGTGAGTCTTCAAGCCCTTAGCCCACCTCATGCCTGATCTGCTGTGACCATGTTTTACTGTCCAGGTCGGTTATAAGGCTGGACAATAATACCAGACCTCGCTACTGTTTTCTGATCATTGCCATATGGGGAGCCCTATTGCAGCTGAAAACCCTTTCTGTGTCCGCTTCCTCTCAAACAGTCCTGACATGCTGAATAATCCAATAACTCCCAATAAATTCTGTCCTGTGGCCAACACAGAGTAAGGCAGCCATGGGAAGGCAGCATGGATGCTGCTGTCTTGAGGGGCAAGTTCCATTGAGTGATACCTTTTTGTTTATTCATTTAAAAGATCCCTTACATCATGGGCATTCAATGTGAGTGAAAGGTTTATTGGTCCCTACTATTAAGATGTTAATAGATACTAAAATATAAGGGTGTCACTCTGTGTTGAAAAGTCTTGGGGACATGAAGGCTCACATTAGGGGCGTGATGATACATTTGGGTTACAAGACGTGACGATGTACAAGAACAAGACTAGAAGATTTGTAACAATATTTGAAAGCAAAATTGAAATGCTGAAATATATGAGCGTGGGTTCTTCAAACACTTCATTTCCTGCATTCGGGAGACATTTTCTGCTCCAATGTATGGTGGAAATGTCTTTATTTATAGAAAGAGAAGAAACAAAACATAAAATTCAGCTTATAAATATGAAAATATAACAATATAATTCGGTAATCAGCTGCAATTTGTGGAAAATGCACATTTGTTTCTTCTATATTTAAATTGCATTGCAGGTTTTCAGTTGTTATCTAACATTTCTTGTAGCAAGCTATTTTTCAGAACATTTTTACAAATGCTTTAAAAGAAGTGATGGGGACGAAATCAGCCATGGTGGGGACATGTCCCCAGTATAAATGACACCACCATGCTAAAATAAGATCGACACAAGCAGTACAGCCGAGCCACATTAGTGTGGGTGCTACAGGTTAGCAGGTACAAGATAAAATACAAACCAGGAAGCTCCGTCTGAAGGCAAATTTAACACTAAAGCTTGATTTATACTCCTGCGTAGCCAGGCATTTATACTTGTGCGTCCGTGTGTCCGTCAATCTGCAATTACACCCCCAAACACTTGTCAGCAGTAGCGCTACAGCGTCCACTGTGTTGACTTTTGCCGGCCGAGCAGGCTAACTTCTGGTTTAGCGCTCCGCTAACGTGAATGGGGGTAAAATTGTAAATGTGCGGCTGGGTTAGCCTTTTCAAATGTTATCGACCGAATGGATCACATTCTGATAGTGAACCGAGTCATTTCGCTCGGGTTGTGACGATCAAATATATTGATCCACCGTGTTACAGCCGCTGTTTTGGCCGCTAGTAAAAGTTACTTCAAAGCACGGACACTTCCTGTCGGCTCGGAGGCATTGCGAGGCTACTCAGCCGACCAATCACAGTGCTTTGCTTTTCTGCAAAACTGCAGTTTTTACAGAGACCGTCTGTGGCGGCATACCTTCTACACTTCATTGAAACTGATGAGGAGGCCTGTGATTTTTGACACAGTACCATTTTTTGTCTGAATGTAACCCATGAGAGGAGCACACCTATCAACACCATCACGGATGTCTCATACACTCCTTCCTTTCCAGACAGGAAGATGATCTAGAATTGGGATTGAATTGTGTATAGGGGATGACCAAGCAGGTGGACATTTTGAAGTGTCATATGTTTTTGAGTTTCGGATTGATTATCGTTATTTTCTAAGTATTTCATACATCCACATTTGTGTCCACTCGAAATAAATTTTTTTCATTTTCTGCTATAGGTCGATGTTTTATTTGCAGGCATTCCAATTTCCCCTTGCTTAGCTCCTCTGCATGCAAAGCACTTTTTTAAAGTTTGTGTTTATTGTTCACAGTGTGTAATTTTTATATACTTACCTCCAAGGTGTTACATTTGTTGTGTTATACTATTAAAATCCATCACTTCTTCTAAATCAGATTCTGGATGTTATCTTTCATGGTTTCAAAGGTGCTACATATTCCATTTTAACTTCCATAAGTCAGCAGATTTAGGAACATTAATGTAATCACTGAATACAGTGAGGCATTGATGAGTATACTACGTGTGGTTAACATTTTATGCCACCCAGTCAGAGGGAAAATTATTGGATTTGTTGGCACCACAAGACGGGAAGTATGCTACTCTTCAGAAACAGGGTTTATGGAAAATGTTGTCTTAATGCTGACAAACCAGTGATTTGGTGTAAGTTTGAATTTATCAATTTTCTTCTGCATGGTCCCATTTGGTTTCAATACTTAAAACCAGTCAATTAATGTGTTACACACACATTAAAGTGTTGAGATACTATACTGAGCACCTTTGAGACACGATACACTTCAGTAAAGTTTTTACTTTGGCTCAACGTTGTACTCTTTTCCCTCCTGAAGCAAAGCTAAGCCACCCCCTCAGATCTCCCCGAGCAAGTCCAGTGGAGGAGAGTTCTGTGTGGCTGCCATCTTTGCCTCGCCTCGCTCCTGGTTCATCACCAACCCCAATATGAAAAGAGAGAAAGGTTAGACCAAGGCCGCAGGGGCTTTTGCATTTTTCTGGAGCAAAAGTCCAAATATGTCACCCTAAAAGTGAAAACCAAATGGCCAATGGATACAAAATCTTGACAAATGTAGTTTCTTCCTCATTATTGCAAATGCACTTTTAATAATCATTGTAAGTAACTGTAAGAAGCTGATTCTTAGCTCTGCCTTCTTTCACAACCTCTTCACAGATCAGTCCAGGCAGTCGGTTGTTGACTCGCTGTACATCATCAGTTGCTATGGTAACTTAGTGGAGCATGTCCTGGAGCCTCGGCCAATTAGCACCGCTCAAAAGATTAGCGATGACACACCTTTGGAACTCAGCACCTGTCCAAGGGCCTGCTGGACTTTAGCCAGGTAAAGCTGTATTGACCACTTTATCCTAGAAAAAGTGTCTCTAATATGTTCTGTCTCATGGTCGATATGTCTTTTGGGGCAGGACTCCACAGTGGAATGAGCTGCAGCCACCCTTCAACTCTAACCACCCGTTGGTGCTGGCCTCAGACCTGGTGCAGTACTATCAGTATCTTCTGGCTGGTAAGTTCTAAATAAGTACTTATTTTTGTGTTCACTAGTTTACACAAAGTAGTGTGTCAGGTGTGTTCAAATCGATTGCAAAGTTACATTTCGTGGAAGCATAAATGTATGTAAACTTAATGGAGATGTCCATCACTGCAGATTTCCTCTAGGCAGCTCAAAACTAAAGTGAAAATGTGTTTCAGGTGTTTCATTGAGATCCTGATAAATAAATAGTTGAAAGTTCTACAAGCTTACAATAAAGGGGACATTGGGACCAGGCTCTTTGTACCTCATCAGTTCTGAATTTATTTTGATTAGTTAATGTTTAGTTTGATTAATTATGTGACAATGTTGTAACGGAAGTTCCAGAACATCGCTTTAATATTATCCTGAAGAATCCATTCATCCACCTTTTAGCTATACCTACATATCCTTTGGAGGTTCCTGTGAGGCTGTAGCTGATCTCAGTTGACATTAGGCGAAAGGCAGTATATCACTGCATATTAGAAGTGGACAGTGTAGACTCAACCATGATTCAGACTCAACTATGATACAAACATTTAAAAACCATGTCCTTTCTCCTCGAAACTTCCAATGTGAAGCTGAGATAAAAGTATCCTTTTTTCAGATAAATAAACCATTGCATCAATCAATCAATTTTTTTCTCATACACGTAACTTTCTCAGCTTTTTTTTTGTGCGTAATTGTTGACATCATTCTCATAGACTTCAACATTTTTCATTGAATATTAAGCCCAATCATGTTCCCGAAGTTGTTCGCTTTTTTAGTCCTGCCTGTCTTAATATAAAATTGTTGAATTAACTAGTAGTAGTATTCTTTGCAATAAATGTCACTTTGCTACAAAAGGGAGTTCAAATACCAATCGCATGAAAGCTATTGATGTATCTGCCTGTACTATGTTTGTTTATTACATGTATGCATCATCAAGTAGATGTCTCTGTATGTTTTGGTTGCGCAGGCTAACATGATCATGTATGTTGTATGTTTTTGTATGTACTGTATGCATCATGGGTGACCCCTAGTCCCTGCTGTTTTTCAGTGCTGACTGTGTTGAAAGCCAGTCCTTATCCTCTTATTGGTGCCACATGCAGAGAAGAGACCTTTCCAGGCAGCAGCCATAACATTTCCTTTCACAAAGATTTCAGGGAAAGATCCACCATTTCTACCATTTCATATCCTCTGAGCCCTGTCAGAAGTAATCCTGATTCTTCTGTTTGCTTCTGCACCTTGAATCTATTCTTTGTCGGCCACACTACACGCCTGCTTCAGGATATGCTAGCAAAATGCTATGAGATGCCGCAGTCAGACCAATTAGCTGACACCCTAAACTCCCTCTAATTCAATAACAAGTACAGAGCAGTGAGCACTTAAGGTTGCCCTCTGAAAGGCCAATTCGCAAAAAGCGAATGCTTGTGCACACGGATGGCCACACACGGAATCAATCCACCCCCTGGAATAAGCTGGCGTTTTGAGCTCACTCCATAATTATAAACACACAAAATCTGTAATTAGCTCTTGCAGCTGCTCCAGGGCAAGTGGTAGCTGTGTTTACCCTAATCTTTCTACTCTTCTCCGTTGACTTCTGCAGTGCTCCAGGTCTAACTGGTAGGATATTTTCTCAAATTAGTGCTAATGGTCTCTCCTAGTGTCACAGCGATGAGTACACGTTGGGGTGACGGGCACGGGCGTCAGCTTTTTCCACCATTCTCTCTGCCAGAATGGGCAGTGGAACTGGCTGCATAATGAGAGATTCATTGCATTAACATTTACATCCAATTAACAATAGCCAGATAACACCGCTTTGTCTCTTTATTCCCCAAACCAGCCAAGTGTGAACCGATGCAAGACTCCATAAACATAATTGTTCAGCTCTCTACCCACTTCTTGTTCTCCTGCCATTTTCCCTCCAGGTCAGCCTCCTATGTACAACCAACACCAACTGAGTTGCTCTTGGAGTGCCACCTTCTATTTCTGCACTTTGTACCCAAGCACGGGCTCTCAACATCCTGTTTCTCAGCATGCATCCCCTTGCCAGCCCTCTCTTCTGCCGTTTCCTCCAGGGCTTGGCAACGTAATGGAGAAGTGATCCAGGAGAAGGGGTCGATTTGACCTTAGGATGAATTACAGCACAGCCATACGCCCCTTGTCCAGCTGCCTCTCACTGAGCATAAAGATAGTGCCGCTGCAGAGGAAACTGAAAAGACACGCTGTTCTTACTTGCAGAACAAATTGTGCTATCTAGGTCTAATTTACATTGCCGATACAACCGTCACAAGAGAGAACAAGTAGCAGGAGAGGGAATGAGACTAGAAAGATTCACTATTCAACAAGAAACAGAAGTACTGAAAGAGTCAAAGAATGAGGATAGGAAAAATATACGCAAACAGCCACTTCAGCAATTTGTCTAACAAAGTATGACTGTGTCTCTAGAAAGGTGGTGCAAGGCGAAGAGGTGGCAGCGCGTGATTGACAGGCCATGGTCTCTGGTCTCGTGGCTCTATATTGGATGACCTAGGCTGATTAAAAATGCAGTATGCAGGGAAAGGAATAGGAAGGGGAGAGGAAGGGCCGGGGTCAGGCCAGACCGGAGCCTCCAGGACGGGATGATAAAAGGCAGCAGTGGCGCCACTTCATGGTCACTATCTCCACCTGTCCATCTGTAGCAGCTACTGGCAGCACTCAGCCTTGCAGAGGAGGGCAATGTGCAGCACTGCCTTGGAGAGATAAGGAAGAAAGAGACACACATTATACAGTATACTCACAAATAGAGGAGATGCTGTAGGACGATCTGGCTTAATAAAAGCAAACTTAAGCCAAGTTTTTAGTGTTTGGGGAATCCTCTATCTTTAGCTGAGGTGGAATCACAGGATTCCTGTCTGTGTCTCCAAAAGTACACATTTGTTTAAAAGGAAAGTGTTTGAACAGGCCCGTTTTTTGTCCTAAAGTGTCGGACCTGAGTAATAACAGAAAGACTACGCTAACCCCTATCATAACAGGGTCTATACTTTGATGAATGTGAGGTTTTCACACCTTCGTTAGCTACATTCAGACTTTTTATTCAGAGTGAGTTTTTTCCACATTCATTTTTTTTTTTATCTAGCTGTCTGCAATATGTTTTCCCACACCTCTTTCCTTCGCCGCAGAGTTGCTCTGAAGCAAACAAACCGGTGAATAATTTACCACCTGGATTTCTGGCTGGCTCCTTTGAGCCTGGCGAGGATGGCAGCAGCAGAGGCTATGCTTTTTGGCCGTGGCCCTCCCCTCCCTACCTGTCATATAATGTGCTAATTGTGGAGACTGACTGACTGGCTGGCTCGGCTGCTCTCTTGGGACTTTGAGGTCCATGACAGGCCAGTCACAGTTGCCTCGTCAATAGATCTAATTGCCAAGAGAGAGGGGCCAGAGTGAAGGCTTTGGAGCATCAGGCGTTTGGTAAAGAGAAACCGTGGCGCCATGACTAGGTCAGTAATCAAAGAGAGGCAGAGAAAGGATGGGGTAAGTGTAGCGCTGGCTGAATGAAGGAACTGTCAGTCAAATACGCCTTGAATGATATATAATGACTAAGCTATCCCAGTCTGTCAGTATGCCAGCACCTATCTGCCAGAGTACTACTCAAAAGAGGAAAGCGAGAAGAGAGGAAAGTGAGAAGTGAGACAGGTGGAGCAGTCGAGAGGGAGCCTAGCAAGTGAAATGTCTGGCAGCCACTGGGGCAGGTCAAAGTAGAGAGTGGAAAAATAAAAGACTAACAAAATGAATCTTTAAAAAATACAAATGAAAGAGATAAAGGTGAACAGAGCAGACAGCTCAGACAAGACGGCTATCCTCTGTCCACTGTGCAGCCAGCTCTCCAGATCTATCAGATTGTTAGCCCCTTATCTATCTCTGGAGATCAGCCTGTCCGGCCCCTGGCCCAAGGCCCTGGGAGGTCGGACTACATCAATACCTAGGCAGCCTTTGTTCTTGTTCTGACTCCCTGCTTCACTGCTCTGGCTAACAGGCCACTGGCTACCGGCCTTCAGCACAGCAAAACACCACTCTCCACAGTCAATAAAGACTGACACAGACAACTCTGTTCCTCTGCGGTGTAGGGAATATTGTTTTTCTGCTTATATGGGTATGCAAGCACATAATCATCAGGTTGGTTATTAAAGAAACGGACCATAAAATAGTGGAAAAGCAGTTATTATTATGAGTATGCTGGGAATTATATTTTATCTCTTATAGTTTAAGCTTATCAACCATCATAAGTAAATATCTTGTGTCATGGCTCATCATTTTTTTTCTGTAAAATCATCCAGTAACAGTTTTCGGATATAATAAGCAGACGAGACTGTACATTAATTAAGGATATTTAAATAGAAATAGTGTCCTGCCCACAAGGAGCTAATAAACCCAGGGATATTACTGATGGTAAACAAATGTATGTGGTCTCACGGTATGTGTTGCCACATTGTTTAACCCCCATATCAATGGTTTATTTTTGACATTGACACCAATTACTTTTTGAATGACTAGGCAATAGGAAAGGTGTCAGCCACAAAATAAAAGCCAGGACTTGTATTTCTACATAAGATAGAATTGGTACAGTATGTTTGGCCTGCAGAAGGCTGAGAGTCACCACAAGCATACATTTCTGGTAGTGTACAGTACTTAACATGGATGTTGTACTGTATCTCCACTGTTTACAAATCAGTTGTCACAATGAAAGATAATAACTTATTTTTCCATAACATAGTCATGGTATGTTGGGCATTCCTGCTGTGCCTCTAGCCAAACATTCAGACTCCTTTCTTGAGTGTGGTACAATAAGTTTGCACTTAAAAATTAGCCGTCTGGGAAATTGCATTGACGCTCTGTCTCTTAAGAGCCAGTAATGAGCGTTGTAAAAGCATAAGGCAGAGACCGGACACTAAGATGGGTAGATATGACTGTAACTGCCGGGGTCAGTTTGGCTCATTACATGCACACTAACACACACACACACACCCGCATACATACACACACGGATGTGTCTTTGCTTGACCCATGGGGATGACCACTAGCTCCCCACACCGGACTCTAGAAACCCAATCCCACCAGTCCACCAACTGCTTCAGAACATCAATAATTAATTAGGGAACAGCTATTGGCCCCAAGGGTCAGAGAGCAAGGGGAGAGAAAGAGAGGGAGGGAGATAGAGACAGAGAGAGGGTCGTTGGGGGGTGGCAGTGGAAGGAAATAGTGGAGTCATGATTTTGTTTAATAAGTAACACAACACATGCTTTGCTCTTTCTTCCTCCAATTTGAAACACCATGAGAACCCTTCTCTTCTTCTCTTTCTGACTGTAGCCCTAGCTCCTTTTCCACCAGACTACTTCCCCCGAGCTATCAGACTCTTAAACTCTAATTCATCCTCAGCACTGCTCCACTGATAGTTTATTTCTGTTACTGTTTTTCATAATTGATTCTTTATTAATGGATATTGTCTGTTACAAAACTCAATTTCACTCTATAACTTGTTGTATTGTGACAATAAACCTACCTTTCCTTCTACATGGTGTCTCTGAGTTGTTGAAGGGTCACCCGAAATTTCACTTCACATTATTCTGCCTACTCAAATACAATGGAAGTAAATGTAATATTTTTATAGTGGACACAGCACTGAAAAAATGACATTTAAAAACTCACCACTATAAAGTCTATCCTTCCAAAGTTGAAAAGACCAAAGCTGTTAAACTTTAAGTGCCACTTTTCCTGGCTGTGAGGATGACAATCTGATTTCCATTTACTTCTGTTGTTTATTATTGGTGTGGAGGCAGAAATAGATAGACAAACAGATAGATAGACAAACTTGGCTAGATGAAGAAAGTAACTAGTGGGGGGAAATTAACACCTGCCAAATGTGGGTAGATTTTCCATTTGGCGGCTAAAAGTTGGAAGGCTACCTGCCACATTGGCGATAAAGGTATTCAGCATGATATCACCATATAATATCTATTTGACGCTAAAACAGCAGCTCACCGTTCCTGTTTGTTATGTGTCAAACTTAAATTGGTCCCCGCTGTACCCAGGGATCTAAACGGCGACAAAAAAGAGGCTGAAGCAGAACATAAAAAATAGAGTTGGGGGCCTAGTGTCTGATACCCTGTCAGATATTCTTATGGTGCAGCTGTCCTCCCCAGGAGTGTGATCCATAGACTGTATAAAAAAAATGTTGATCTCACTGTTATATTTACATTTTGTTTAATTGAAAAATACAACTAAATAAAACTTAATAAATGAAAATAATGGTTAGTTAGAGCATATTTAACTTCTAATTTAAAAAGGTTAAAATGTTTGAAAATTTAAGTACAAAAAGAATTTAAGTAAACATTAATAAAAAACATTATCCAATATTTTGATGTTTTGCCGACTACATAATTAAGCATGCTGTTCAGATGAACATTATATCGCAGAGAACAAGGAGCAGACTGTGATTATTTAGAAAATGTCTTCCTGATACATAAAGTATTTCATGACTTTGAGATAGAATAAAGTATCCTACCTGTCTATCTGCCGTTTTTCCAATGTCTTGTTTGTAGTCGTTTTCATTTCCTCATGTTTGTCATTCTCTGAGATGTTTTTATTTACGTCAATTAATAAGATTTTAGTAAAATTGTTGCAAAAAGTAAATGAAGAACCATTTAGATTGCATTACAGCAGTTCTTTCCCACTCTGTCTACTGCCATTGTATCTATTTCTCTTGGTTTTCTGTTAATGTTGTTTAAATTTATGTACTTTGGTGGCTGCTGACTCTAACTACCCAGTCCTTCCAAACATTATTCTCTTTTTTCAAACACAAACATATACAGAGCTAGCACTACTTCAGAAGCAGGTGTAAGAACTGTGCAGACCACATACTTCGTAAGGGGAATGTGTGTGTCAGAGTGGGGGTTGATGTGACATTCGTTATAGAGGTGTCAAACACCAAGCTACCTCCATCAGGGGTGTATGAACACCTGGCACGTGTGGATAAAAGGCCGGACCACTTCTGTGCTCCAGATGTGGCCTTGACGAGTTTATTAGCAATTCCTGTGTTAAACAAACCCCATCCCTGAGGTGGGAGACAGAGAAAGGACTGATTCTCCACATTAGACCTCATTCTCCACGACTGCTTAATCAAGCCTGCAAGAGACCCATCTGTCTCTGGTTCTCTCTGCCGCACTATCTCTCTTTATAACACACACACACACACACACGATATTTCTCTCTCACACAATTTACTGTGCACTTGCTTTTTCGCACACACTGGCACATACCCATATGCCATGCGAGAGAAAGGAAAAACATGGCATTATTTGTCTTTTACAAAAGAAGACTCTGAGCATGTAATAACTGTCGCCACTGCCTTCAGCCTACATGTATTGGTTTTGGCTTTCAAAGACCATATCAGTCAATCCCAAATGACTCCAACACACTTTAATAAACTAGTTGTCAGTTATCGTTTTCCTTCACAGGCTGATTTATGTAAATAGTTAATGGTAATATATGATTCACAGCCCTGCTCTGACAACTCAGTCAGCTGAAACTTACTGATATCCCTGTCCGATTGCTGCGTCGCTGTCATATTTTATAATGTTGGAGGACTGTAAACTTTTCAAGAATATTATTATATAGCAAACATTTAATACTTTAAATTTTAGATACACTTTCTGGCTTGAAAATTATGATGGTATTGGACATTATCGCACTGTCAGCTTCAAAATATCAGATGTAAATGCCTTCATTGGATAAAACATAATGCAATCGTGTGTGTGTGTGTGTGTGTGTGTGTGTGTGTGTGTGCGCGCGTGCGTGCATGTGTCTTTCTATGTTCTCTCAGCAATGCCTCCAGGAAGCCCAGGCCCAATCACGCGCCACGAGTCGTCAGACAGCCTGGCGTCGGGCCACAGTGGCCAGGAGGACGAGGAGTGGCTTTCTCAGGTCAGATCTCTACTTTAACCAACATTACATTAACATTATGTTAGTCTCACACTAACACTCATGGCCGTACCCACCTTTGACCAGTATTGTTTCCAAGAAATAATTGCCTAAAAATAACTTTACTTTGAAGAGAAGTCCTGTACACACATCCTGGTCTTTTCAGCTTGGTTAACCCTCAATGCACTCATCTCTGGTGTCGGCAGGTAACCCGCTACATTTTTACTATAAATAATTCCACTGCATGCATAATTGATTGGTTAAAATGCACCCCACTTAGCTCGCAGAAGCCCTGGTTCATATCTGCCATGATAGTTTGCCAGGAGCAAAACTATCCATTGCACTAACTCGGATTTTTGGCGACTTCCTGTCAGAGCAGTGGTAGTGATGCATTCGTCAGTGGTTGGAGATCTAATAGAACGTCTCTCCGTGCCTTAGCGTGTACCTAAGATGATTTGGAAGTAGCTCTTGTAGAACGTTTGTAGATTTGTAGATATACAGTGTACTCCCCCCCCCCCAGTCCCTCCAGAATGTTTGGAGAGGCTAGGACACATTAAGTACAATAGCTTTGTGGATTGAGAAATGCTAAATACATACAATATAGGCTGTGTTGGATTGGAAGCTGAAGACTGGATGGTGGACTTCATTATATCATATCAGTGGCCTTCATTCAATTATCAGTGGGTATTTTGGCATTGGTTTGGGATTTAGAATTGATTGCCACCCCCTAATGAAATGTGAGGTTTGTGACCCCCCATGTCAGTGCTCCAGCTCGTTACAGCATCATGCCATTTGCTGCCCATCAGCACTGGTCGCTCTTTAGCTGGCTGGCAGTGGGTGACAGAGTCCCCCTCAGATCTCTACATCTGCCAGTTGTGATGTGATGGAAAGGGTGTGACATAGATCATAGCAAATGGATGGTCAGAAGATTCTAGTCTTCCCTAATAAATGAATAGATGCATTGTAGGACACTGTGCATGACGATAGTCATTGTTTGTCTCTAACTATAGGTTATTGTCAGTGTCTAAAATCATACAATGTAATTATCTGGATTTTTGTTTTAGATTCAGTCTCTCACAGTTGAAGTGTACCTATGATAAAAATTACAGACCTCTACATGCTTTGTAAGTACGAAAACCTGCAAAATCAGCAGTGTATCAAATACTTGTTCTCCCCACTGTACAGTCTCCAATATGACATCAGTAATACTTTCCAATGACATGCTACCAGGTAGCTGAAAACTAGTGTGTCCCACAACATTTTACTTGTTTGGGTGACAAATATGGGGTCTGCAGTGTGCCAGAAATTTCAAATGATTAAACTATTACCAATAAGGAAATAGAATGAATGACTGGCAAATGTGTAATAATAATAGCTTTAACTATTTATTTACTGATTACAATAAAACACACACAAAAAAATAATTGTGCAATAAATATAAAATACCAAATCCTTCTTTTGTAAAACCAAGTGAATTGATGGTTTGTGCTGCTGCACTTCAGTGTTGCAATGACCAAAAGACAAGACAAAACACAAGGCAATGAAAAATGTAATACATATTGGAGACTTAGAAGGAGAAAAGGCAAGAGTCTGTCTGGCATACAGAGGTACTTAAAACAAAGCTTGACAAATAAAGACTGGTAGACTGAAACTGAATTGCCTTAAAGTCATTTGAATTCAATTGAATTGAATAATTACAGATACAACTAAGATGTGAAAACAAACAAAAAACATGGACAGAGCAGGTTTTGTTTTCATATTTTCCCAATTATATTGTCACCTGAATTTAATGGTCTTAAATTATCTTGGAAAAATAGATATTGGGAAACCATTAAAGAACAATAGCCGACTAAAGGCCCTTCCAGATATAAAGCAATTTGCGCTGCGTTGTCTGCTGGGTTCAGTGCAAAATTGGCAGTTTTTAAAACTTGTAGCAGGACTATACAGTTTACTACGTTCAAAGCATGAGTGTATTCATAATATCGCATTTCTGACAACAACAGAGCTTCCATTGAATGAAGTAGGGGACTAGAGGAGGTAAAAATGAGAACATGCCACTTTTGGACTGCATTGATTGAAAAGACTGTGAGCATATATGAATACATATTGCAACAGCCTAAATACATAAAACATACTTTTATAGGAGAGCTTTTCCCGATCTTATTTGACTTTATTTTATCCCTTTTATTTTATTGTATTTTACTAATTTTATATTAAATTTTCATGTTCTTATCTTTTTTGTATTATTCTTTACACTTGTTAAAGCACTTTGTAACTTGTTTTTGAAAAGTGCTCTACAAATAAGGATTATTATTATATTATTATTATAATGTGCAAGTCCTTTTTGGAGTGTCTTAACAGCATCTGAAACTTCCAAAAGTTTCTGAAACAGACCATGAGAGATATGGAAGGGTTTCATGTCGTGGTTCTGAGGGACAGAACTGCAGCTGTTAATATATCTGGACAGCCCATCTATATAAAGTAAATGTGGGAAACACTGTATTTAAAGTTAGGACAAGCTTTAGGCCTGTATGTTTTTTTTAAATTACACCTTGCACTTATTTTATTGTCTTTCAACTGTGTGTGTCACGTGACTACCGAACCGTGGCTCAAAAATTGAGGTCTGAACCGAACAGTGAATTTGGAAAATCGCTACACCTCTACCAACTGCATGTATACATGCTTAATCTTACCTTAATGTCGACCAGTCAGTTGGATTTTGCCAGGCAACAAACAAGTGTTTAGCCCACTAGTTAGTTAGATCTTGCTTGATGCCCAGTCTAGAGAGGGAATAGGGCTGTACGGGAAAACCTGAGCATCATGTCATCGGCTCCGTGATGCGAAGGGGAGGGGGTGGGGGGTTGACACTGGACTGTAACATCTGGACCTTCCATCCCAGTGCAGAGAGAGCACATTGGCAGCTGTTCAGCTCTGCGGCTGGGCGTGACATTGATGGTGTTAACTGGCAAAGCACACACACACACACACACACAAAGTGACAATCCTCCTCTCTCCTTCTGTGGCCTAATTTGCACAGCTGTAACAAACTACCTACATCTAAATGTGTATATGCAGATATCTGTGTATAAACATACACACGGAAGAATGTGTAAGCTCTCACTTGTGTCTGAGATGTTGGCCACTGGCTGCCAGAGTGGAGTGAGACTGAGCTGAGAGCTGGGCTGAGGTGAGAGATGAACACATATGAAGTAAAGATAATGAAATGTGAACAGTGAGACACCAAGACACTACTTAAGTGCTGCAGGGAGTTGGAAATTTAGAGTGTGGGAGAGCAGTGAAAAGTGAGAGTCCAAGGCAGAAGATGGTTAAATTAAAAAGGCAGAGAGGAGATGGAGAACCGATGAGGCAGTAATAGTCCGATGTTAGTCACCCACTCCGTAGCCCTCTCCTATCCTACTTTCAGCCAGCATTAGCGCCACTCAGCTTAGGCACCCATGGACTGCCTGCCACGGTCTTATTCTCCCAGTAGGCTTCACCTCAGCCTCACCGTGGCGTTGTCGCTAGTGTCACACTTCTATTAACCCTCAGGGAAGGCTTCCCATCGTGCTGCCAGCACTCCCAACACACACTAGACCTTGACGAGTTCTGACATCATCTTGATATTTTCAGTGATGCAGGAGTACAGCAAGCTTTTAGTTGGCAGTCTTGTAACGGAGTTCATCTGAGTACTGCATGGGGTGAGTTTTGGCACGTACATTGACGCCAAACCACCAGGTCGAATCCTCGGATGACAACTGCCCAGAAAAGCCAAGTGAAGACTCTGTTGACTGTCTGCTGATTTATTATTAGAGGACTTCAGATGTATTGAAAGAGCTACACATGACCGATTGGAATATCTCAACAGCTGTCTAGTGCCACAACTATCACGACATTTGTGGTTTTGAGTAAAATGTCTTGGATTGCCATGAAAAATAAACATGCTGCAGTCAGGATAAACTGTAATAATATAAATGATTCCAAAAATACAAAATCTAGCACCGCCATCCAGTTAATTTGTTAAATACTACTTGATTTATGACCAAATACCTGCAAAACTTGATCATATTCTCATTAGCCGTAGCTGTACTTTGTGTTTAGTGCCAGTTATCAAATGTTAGCATGCTTACATGCCAAACTAAGGTACATGGTAAACATTGCCTTCAAAGTACATGCATTATAGAGAGCTCGAGTGAAACTGTAACTTCCGGTGTTAGCTCACATATGATCTGTAACATAACATATTTTATAACAGCAGGACAGAGAAGGGGGGCAAACGTTGTAAAAATCTTAAAACAGCAGAAATTACAGCTAAGAATTAAAAAAAATAATAACTTGAATGTGAACTTCAAGGAAATTGATGAAGCCAAGTTACGTTGATGTACCCGTTTCATCACACTGTGCCCCTGCGTTACATTTTAATGGTAGCTGTAGTTTTTCTGTGCTCACAAAGTAATCATTGTTTAACTTTATTAAAATCTCAATTTATTTTGCTCAACTGCTAATAGCAAGTGATATAATGGACACTGATTTATATTATATGGAATCTGGACAGTAGATCCCAGAAACACAAATGAAAGAAATGTTTACTGAGAGATGGCGTTGTGTTACAGAAGCTAGTGGAACAGAGGCTAGACTGGATGTGATGTCATGATATTGGCTGTCTATAGCATTGTCTTTTCAACTTAGGCTTATAGCCAAAAACTTACAGTGCAGAACAAATGGCATTCCCATCAGCCTCAGCTGTACTGTGTTTAGCGCTATGTTGCAAATGTTAATGTGCTTATAAACTAAACTGAGACTGTTTACAAGGAATGTGTTACCTGCTAAACATCAGCATGTTAACATTGTCGATGTGAGCATGTTAGCATTTAGCTCAAAGCACCACTTTGACAAACCCAAAACACAGAAGACACCTAGGAGTTTTTCAAAGATCTTGGCCAGTTATTTTGGGAAAACGATAAATGGTTCCCTCTCCTCATTGACGTTTACCTTTGTATTCTCAGGTGGAGATTGTGACCCATACAGGGCCCCATCGGCGCCTGTGGATGGGCCCCCAGTTTCAGTTTAAGACCATTCACCCTTCAGGTCAGACCACAGTAATCTCCTCCTCGTCCTCAGTCCTTCAATCCCAGGGTCCCACTGATGTCCAGCAGCCCCTGTTGGACTTTGACACAGATGACCTGGACCTACACAGCCTCAGGTACTTTGACACTGTCAAAAATAATGCTACCAGTAGTGAAAATCAGGGCTAAGGGCTGCATTAAGCCAGATTTTGATGTAGATATACTCACTATGTTATCTGTCTAAATCAGGAAGAGGGTTTACAAGATATACAAACACACTTGTTTTTACAAATTAGGAGGCGGTCACTCTATTTACACAAACTTATCCTGACAAGCATGTATATCCTCATAATCATAGTTTTACACTTAATCACTGAAACAACAATTCAAATCGCCCACTGTGAGTTCCTGGGACCAGGTCCAGGCATCTGAAGCCCTTAGATATGTGTGTTCTTTTTGTGTGTGTAATAATATACATATACTGGATGTGTGCAGGATCCAGCCGGTACGTTCAGAGCCAGTCAGCATGCCCGGCTCATCACGGCTGGTGCCTGATCGCAGAGGACAGTCCAACATCATGGACTCAGGATCAGGTAGGAAACATCTTTGGTTTACTCTGCTGTATTTGAATCCCTCCTACCCCCCGCTCTGTGGTAAAATTTGGGTTCTTCCATTTCCTTGTTTTCCCACCGGTTTCATTCAGATGTAGTTCATTCTGCTCGATCTTCTTGACTGAAGTGTCTCTTTGTCTGAAGTTGCCAGTTAAATTGTGTTGTATTTGATTCCGGTGTATCCCATCAATCATAACAGTGGAGACTGGGAGTCAATGTTGTGTAATGCACATTGCCACACAACAGCATTCCCACAAACAACAAAGTTTGATAAATGAAATAGATGTTCCAGTACCAGAAAAAGAGCTTTCCCTTATTTGCAACAGTATTTGCCATTTTTTTCTGTCTCAGCCGTGTTCAGTGATAGTTGAAGTGTCAGGGTTACAATAATGTTTGATGAGGCTATGATGAAATAGAATTCAGAAATGTTATTACAAAGTGACTAAAAGTAATAAATGTTGTATCTTGCATTAGCTTTAAATGCTATAACTAGGACTTAACTTACTGTTGGAAAGGAATGCAGACCCAAACAGGTCTATAAATATAATTTTAATATTCATCTACTGTGCATTTTACTGTCTACTCTAACTGCTGTTACTGCAAGTTCTCTGGCGACTGCCTGCTGTAGTGTGTTTGATGGTAAAGGGATTCCCTTTGCTGTTGTCTAACACCAGCACAATCCCATTCAAGTGGATTATAAGTAGTCAGTCATTTACACTAGCCATTCAGCAGCTTTGCTTCGTCCAACCATGCAGCCATGAATGCTGTCCCGTATCACATATACACTGTGATTGTTTGAATAGGCCTGTAAGGTCTGCTACATGTCGTCTTTAATCTGGTTACGATGTTGGGCTAATCCAGTCACACACAGATGAGAGGATTTCCTCTAGTCTCAAAGTATAGTGCTGTTAAATGGGTCTTGTGAATGTGTGTGTGGCTTGTGTTTGGTATTTACTTCCAGTGCAGGTGAAGACATCGTCACTTATTGCGTGACATTGTACCCTGCTGCCTTTTGTTTGATCAAAGAGATAGAGGAGCAATCTGTGGCATTATCTGCTGTCACGTGACAGACTTCAGTCATCTGATCTGCCCTCCCACTGACAGATAGCCACCTCTGGCTTTTTCACTGAGGTGTTGAGAAATGTTTACAGCTTGTCACAAAAGGTGTGCCACAAATATTTAAACATATTCAATAGCGTCTTTTTCTTCTCCATCTTTCTCTGCTCTTCAACACATACCAAGAAGTGCTTGATAAACAGAGAGATATGCTTTGGTATTTACCACATTTTTTCCTTTCAACTGAACAAGAACCAGTTCAGACTATCATCCACCCACTTCCAAAATGAAAGCAATTACAAAGCTTGATTGATTTTTTATTTATTGCACAATTATTTTTTTGTGTTTTATTGTAATCAGTAAATAAAAAGTTCAAGTTATTATTATACATTTGCCAGTAATTCATTATATTTCCTTTTTGGTAATAGTTTAATCATTTGCAATTTCTGGCACACTGCAGACCCCATATTTGTCACCCAAACAAGTAAAATTAGCATTTTCTTATTATTATTATTATTTTACCAAGGGGATTAACCTTGGTGATGTGAGACTGACGGAGCAAACTCATTCACCTGTTTCCCCTTCACCTCTGTCTGTAGCCTTGTGTCTGCCCAAAATCATATCTGTGGTTCTTCAGTCTCCAGCCAGTGTCCTCTGTGTTTTCAGTTTCTTTCCTAACTGGTTCAGAGCAGAGAGACAGGACAAAGTCAGGCCGAGGGATAGAGGTGATGCTTATCAGTGTGTGCGCGCTGGGAGGGGTTCAGTGTTGTGTCCTGCCACTGCCATGGCGCCGCCTCTTATCACACATGCACATCACTTTTGTCTCACCCTCTAAAGCCGCCTGTGTGTGGCAGAACTTACTAATATGAGTTTGAAGGTTGATAGCAATTTTTTTTGGATTCACGGCGCATACAATAAATACATCTTTAAATTGACCAGTCCTGAGTGAGATAAATTATTTTCATGTATTTACATTTATGCTAATAAGAATACAAAGAAAGCTGATAACTGACACTAAGTATTTGAGATTGACACATTTATGAGCATGTAGCCCTTCAGACTTAACTGATAAAGACAATGACTTGTTCCAATATTTAATGCCTTCAAATGCATATATTCTTATGTCAGTAAATTAAATGTTTAGTGATTCCCTTAGTATATCATATATATAAAATGAGCTTAGTGTTATTTGGTTGCCATGATGTAATTATGTCATGTCATCGGCGTTTTGTCTGATGTAATGCATAACAGCTGTTCATTGCATTAAACATACGTGTGTGAATACAATATTTAATCTCGTACACATACACATCAGAAAATCCATTATTTCCGTATTGCAAAATAAATAGTTTATAATAGTTCTTAATATTAATATAGCCCTATTGTTTACACTTAAACCTGTGCAACTTTTACTAATTTTACAATATGTAATTCAATTGCATCATATTCATAGTATTAAAGGTGAAAATTGACCTTATCTGGCTTTTAATCCCTTTTAATCCCTTTTAATTCCCTTAGAAATAAAGCGCATGTGTTTTCATATGTAGTGTTTCACATTTCCCATAGGAAATACCTGATAACCGCATGTGCCAAATTTCATGCAAGTCTATCACATGTGAAATTCTGTGTCACAATTACAGATGACAGTTTGACCCTGTGTGTGATGTGCACATTTTGTGACATAAAAGCCTGTGACCGATTCATGTTTTCAAGCCATTTCTGTTAGAATGGAAGTGTTTCTTTCAGAGTGCTCAGGCCCAGTGAGGCCATAAAGCTGCAGTGACTCACTTACAGTCAGTCAGTCTCCCTAGTGTCTGCTCGCATCTTATCTCAGCCCATACACTCTGCTTATCTCTGCCTTCCCTGAGGTGATGGGACGCCATCTGCATTGGACACACGCGCGCACACACACACACACACACACACACACACACACACACAGTACGTCTGTATGTTGTACAGTGCTTCCAGTCATGGCTTCTTGACTCAGCATATCTGTCTCTATGGAGAGGACAGAGGAGCCCATCACCAACGATACTGTCTCATTTTCCACCAGCCGCAATATACAGGATCAATGTGTAACTGTTATCAATACCCCCTATCTGCACCCCAAGCCTTGCTGTGAGATATGTGCATGTGTGTAGAGGCGACTTCAATCCCAGCTAGACTACACAGTGGCATTTTGTGGCTTAGTAGGTCATATCAAGGAAGAAAGAAAAGGAGACAGACCTTAAAGAGAGATAACACCACAAGACTGAAAGAAAGAGTATTTAATCTTACCTGTGTGTGTGTGTGTGTGTGTGTGTGTGTGTGTGTCCACACTACTGTAATTGTGTTTTGACTCCCTGCCACCAAAACAGGAACTAACAACAAAACCCCCTTCTGTGGCATCAGCCATTTTGTTGTTTTTGTTGTTGTCATCTTCAGTGTGTGTGTGTGTGTGTGTGTGTGTGTGTGTATGTACGTTCCTGTCTTTGTCGCCACGTCTCTGCCTCAGTGTTTGTCTCCATCTGTGTGTGTGATTTATCTGTGGCGGTGAATCAGTGATAGTGTGTTAGCTGGCGGCAGCGCAGGCAGGACGAGATGGAGCTGGCTTATCACAACATGCTGAAGACATTTTAGAGAGCTACTGGATTTTGTGTTTGGGTGTTTGTTGGGTGTGGACTGGTTGACACATAACACCAATATAGGATTCTGAACTCTTTTCAGTGAATGGCAGTTTTAGGAATCGTTTTTCATGTAAACTGAGACATATTAATCCAAAACTCCATATCGGCCTACCCAGTTGAACCATGAGGTGTGTATCTGTGGTCGGCCTCCGTGTGTACAGACATGTATGTGTATACTGTATGTTTGCCCTTGTGGCTTCTGTCTTGTGTGTGTGTGTGTGTGTGTCAGTCCATTAGCAGCATCCTGTAAAACACTGAGTTAATCAGTGTGGGATCAGCAGCTATCTGCCATTAGCCACATCCACCCCACATTATCACAGCTCAGTTACCTTCACTGACTCTGTGTTTGAGGATGTGTGTCACTCTGCGTGTGTGTGCTGGGATTCACATAAAAACTAAAAGTCTTAGTAAGGTGGAGTTCCACCATGAACCTCCAGAACAATTTCACTGCTCGTTGTCATAGTTTCACTGAGTGTGTAGAAGTCATCTAGAGGGATGATCAGCTTTTTTCTAAGATAAAGTCCTTCCTTCATGTTTTTTGTTGGCTGTGGAGAGCACTGTTTAACATGCTGCTCCACAAATCTCCCTTAGGTGTTCAGTTGGGTTGAGATCTGGTGACCGGTGCAGTCCATATTATTTACGTCATTTTCATCAAAACATTCAGTGAGCCCTCGTGCCCAGTGTGGAAGTGCCTGAATTTGTTATTTTTTCCCCTTGAATACTTAAGATGAGAACAAATGTTGTCTTGACGCATTTGCTTTGCAGAACGGGGACGGTCATTCTTGTGATTTTCTACATATTTGCCTCACAATTAAATTTTGGCGTTTTCTCTAACAGCCTTAGTGTTCTTGTATGTGTGTCTCTGTGTGTTTGCGTGTCTTTACTTTTGTATGGGCTAAAACAATTAGATGATTAAATTATAGGTCAATCCACAGAAAATACACTGGCAACAGTGAGCTGATTGGTGCCTGTTTATCTTCTGTTGATGAAGTGATTCACCAAGCAAAAATGCCAAACATCCAGTTCTATTTTACATCAGTGTAAAGTGGATGTGCATTTTTCATTAGTTTCTGACGTTTTACAGACTAACGATGAATTGATTCAGTGCAAAATAATCAATGGATTAATTTGTAACAAATATAACTTTGAGTTGCCCCAATTCAGGTCTCTTCAGATGTCTTCAGTAATGTAGAAAACATTAGGATGTTTTGGCTGTTTTACTCAGAGCCAGGATTTGGTTCACATAAGTGTTAAGAG